AGAAACACTGCTTATGTCTAGGCTGCTTTGGAAAATGTCCTAGTGTTACCGAACCTGAAGTGAGTTCGCTCACCCGTGGCGCAGCAAGCCAATCTCTGACACTGGGGGTGGTGGAAGAAAGTAGGAACTTTATTTTTGCACAGCACTGAGCAAGGAGAGAGGGCAGCTAATGCTGAAATCCCAAACTCCCCGAAAAGCTAAAAGGAAGGGTTTTTATTTGGGGCTTTGGGTAGGGGAGGGGGAGCATATGGCCTTGCTGGTCGGAGATTTCCCACCAGCCTGTCTTTGACCTTGAGACTACTTGCAGAGAGGAGGGAGCCCGTGACCTTGCTGGTCAGCAGCTTTCCCACCAGCCCGTATCTCTTTGTGGGGAGGAGATGGTCCAGGTGCTTGTCCTTGACGGTGTCTGTCTCCATGGAGGATAGCGGATTCTGGAGCCAGGAAGCCAGAGAGTAAGCAGGGAATGAGTGTTTTGGTTTTAACCCCATATATGCTGGGTTTCATGTGGGGAAACTGATACCAGGGTCGGTATCACTAGAATTCTAGATTCACAGAATATTCATCCAGGGTGAACAGTGCATGAGAGGTCACCTCACCCATAGCCATTCCTGCCTCTAACCACCTCATTCCCAGAAAGGATCCCCGAATGTCACCCAGTGAGGCTCCCTCACCTCTGGGCTTCCAGTGCAGTGTTCTCCACCATGAAGGCTCTGCCTGATTAATCCCATGATCAATAGACAAAGTCAAGTGAAGGGCCCAGTAGGACGGGGGCTCATGCTAGTTCAGTGCTTGTTCTAGATGTGCTCTTCATATATCTGTTGAGGAAATTGATGGAGATGGAGAAGTTTAGGGGACCTAATGTGGAGCAACCAGACCTGCCTTCTCTCCTAAGACCTTCCCAACTACTGAGGAGTTAGGGCCAATTTCTAGGATTTTATTCTTCAGACCATTAACTTCCACATGGGAAAACGTAGGGAGTTCCCCAAGTGAAAAGCAATAATCCCAATTGACTGTCACTGGAACAAGAAAAGCTGTATCACTTATATCTAACGTGACCTAGGGAGATTATACATATTAAATAAAATTGAAGTCTGGCCTGAGGTTACATAGACTCCAGCCTCACCCATCACTTCTGCAGAGTCTTCATGAGCCAGGAAAGCTTCCAGGCTGCAGCCAGACACAGCAAGATCTGGGGGTGGCTTCCTCTCTTTGCAGAATTGGTTGGTATCAAAAGTGGGCATGTGATTGAACAGGGGGGTTGGGAAAATAATTCATCCCTGCCTTTTATATGTGCTGTCAGCACCCTACAATCTTCATAGACTAGGAGCCAGGGCTATGTTCCCAGGTTGCAAAGCCCACCGGAGCTGGGTAAGGTGTGATTGTTATTCCTTAACAGGTTTATGAGTCTGTGAGTGTGTGTGTGTGTGTGTGTGTGTGTGAGAGAGAGAGAGAGAGTGTGTGTGGGGGGAGGGGGTGTGGTATGCTAAGTGATTATAAACAGCCTTGATATCTGCTATGAGGACCACCCAGCTTACCCCATATGCAGAGAGATAGGGGTGCTCTTCACTAGGGTGTTCTTTATGACTCGTGTTTCCTTCCTGGATAAAATAGAGGAACACAGAACAGATCAATCTTTCCAGAATCAATGATCTGGGGACTGACTCTAATGCCGTCACAAAGTCCTCATCCAACCACAGGGCTCCCCCTCACCAGTCTGCCGCAGTGTCTAGAATTAGTGCAAATGAGCATCTCTTTTTGAATTTTGGTTCTCCAGAAGCTTCGTTTAGCTATAACCTATGGCCTCGGCCAAGAACCCATGAGGTTTTCTGGGATTGTCATGTGTTTTACGGCTGCTGGTTACCCAATTCTCCCTGATGTCAATATTGGTCCAGCCTGGACAAGGGTAGGCTTGCCAATGACATTGGGAAAGCAGCGTGGGCATGGAGAAGGGACAGCTGCCTCTTTACTGCGCTGGCATGGAGACAGCGCTGCTTCACATCTGCCCACTCTCCATTGGCAGGAACGGATCTCATGACTCCAGTTAATGTGGGGGGCCTGGGGCATGCGTTCCCAGATGGGCAGCATTGTCTCAGTGATAAGTCCACACTGGGAGAGGGGACCTTCAAGTGTGAGCCATCACAGCAAGCCCTCCACCACCTGGTCACTACCTCTCCCAGGAACCCCAGCACTCCTGTTTCCAACCAGCCTTCCAGGCAGCCTGAGGACCCAGGAGGTGTCAGCAGGAAGGTACAGCCCTTTGAAGGGGCAGACGTGGAGGAGATTCTAGAAGAGAGAGGCCACCTGAGCTCACCCACAGGGGAACCAAGCATGTGCTGAGGCCATGAGAAAGTCAGCTTCTCAAAAAGTTTTGACACCACAGCAGTGTGGTTGAGAGCATGGGTTGTAATGTTGTGCAGCTTTTGTTCAACCCTCAGCTCTTCCTCGTACTCGCTGTGTGACTGTGGGCCAGTTCCCGACCAGGCTGAGCCCCAGGAGAGAATAGTCTCAACTCACAGGGTTATTTGAGGTCTAAGTGAGATCCTGCAAACAAAACACAGCACAGTGTTTGCCACACAGTGAGCTCTCAATAAATATTTGTCAAATGAACGTCTGAACAAAGAAAAGTGGAAAATACTAATAAGTATAAACTCTCACAATACTACAGGCAAGAAATGGCTATTGTAATACTAATTAGATGTGTAACCTTCTGAAATTTTTCCTGTGCAAATAAAGATATGTATTTTTAATAAAATGGGATATTATATATGACTGGAGTTTTAGAAAGTATTTCTTTATTTTATTAAATATGACTCACATACCATAAAATTCACCTTTTTAAAGTACAATTCAGTGGTTTTAGTACATTCCAAAGTTGTGAAAGCAATACCTCTATCTAATCCCAAGACATTTCCATCACTCCAAGAAAAACCTCACACCCATTACCAGTCATCCACATTCTCTTCTCCTCTAGCCCTTAGCAACATCTAATACACTTTCTGTCTCTATGGATTTGCTTATTCTGAACATTTCTTATAAAGAGAATCACGCAATATGTGGCCTTCTGTGTATGGATTCATTCATTAGCATAGTTTTCAGTAGTCATCCATGCTGTGACAAGTATTCATACTTCATTCTTTTTTTTTTTTTTTTTTTTACAGATTTTATTTTTTCCTTTTTCTCCCCAAAGCCCCCCGGTACATAGTTGTGTATTCTTCGTTGTGGGTCCTTCTAGTTGTGGCATGTGGGACGCTGCCTCAGCGTGGTCTGACGAGCAGTGCCATGTCCGCGCCCAGGATTCGAACCAACGAAACACTGGGCCGCCTGCAGCGGAGCGCGCGAACTTAACCACTCCGCCACGGGGCCAGCCCCTATACTTCATTCTTTTTATAGTGAATAATATTCCATTGTGTGGATAGATCACATTTTATTTGCCCATTCATCAGTTGATGGACATTTGTGTTGTTTCTACTTTTGACTATTACGAATAATGTTATTTGTATACAAGTTTTTGTATGGATATGCCTTCAGTTATCTCGGGTACATTGTAGGAGTGGAATTTCTGGGAAATATGGTAACTGCATGTTTAATTTTTGAGGAACTGCCGAATTGTATCCCAAAGAGCAGTCCTAACTATTTTGTAATCTGTTCTCTTCCCTTCACAATAAACCATGACTGCCTTTCCTTGTCAATAAATATAAATGTTCATCACTAGTTTGAGCAAATGCATCATATGTCCTTAGCCAACTGTACCAGAGTGTATTTAATGAATTCCTCATTGTTGGAAATTTAGTGAATCTATGAAATAGGCTTTGAGTATCTTCCTTGTGTCTCCAGCAGGTAAATGAGACTTTCTTAGTTGTCTTTTTCAGGCACTTCGTATCCCTCTATTTTGATGCTTTCACAATGCATTGCAATTCACACACCCCCACACACAGCCCATCTGTCTCATCTACTACACAGTGAGCTCCTTGAGGAGACGGCACATGTTTTGAATTCATCTTTGTATTTATAACACTTAGCATACTGCCCAACATTTGGCAAATGTTTGAAGAATGAATGAATAAATGGAGTTTTGAACAAATGGAAGGATGGGTGGATAATGAGAGCCAAGGACTATGGAGGGATGGAGTCTGTTTATGTAAGAAAATTCTGCTCAAAGATCCTTGCCTCTAGAGGTAATGGGTTCCCTCACCCTGGAGGTGTGTGAAAGGAGGCTGAGTCACTTGGCAGGAATATTGTAAAGGTTTTTTTAGGCATCAGAAAGGAGACTGGATGCAATTTAAGGTGCTTCCAAACCTGACAGCATAGAACCCTATGAAATAGAAGCCCAGGGAAAGAAGAGATTTGTCCTCAGTTCCCCAGCTGAGCAGCGGTAGGGCTAGGAGCTGCTCTAAAAGTTTTCAAGCTTATTCCGAGGACCCCAGACCCAAGTGTCCCCTTCTCTAAAGGCATCTGTCTGTTTGTGCCTGCCTTTGAGAAGTTTGCAGTGCACTGAGGTTAGAGTCCAGGAAGGGAGCAACCCTTACGTAACAAGTTGTTTCTCCAGTCTGTAGCTATCAGTAATCGGAGAGTTTATTTCAGGCTGTTTAGACAAAAGAGGGTAAACTTTTTGCAGGTGTCGCATAGAGGTCCCAACAGACACCCAGAGTGATCTTTGGAACGGAGAGAGTCTTTTTTTTTTTTTTTTTTTTAAAGATTTTATTTTTTTCCTTTTTCTCCCCAAAGCCCCCCCGGTACATAGTTGTGTATTCTTCATTGTGGGTTCTTCTAGTTGTGGCATGTGGGACGCTGCCTCAGCGTGGTCTGGTGAGCAGTGCCATGTCCGCGCCCAGGATTCGAACTAACGAAACACTGGGCCGCCTGCAGCGGAGCGCGCGAACTTAACCACTCGGCCACGGGGCCAGCCCCCGGAGAGAGTCTTTTTGCTGTTTTCTGATTAGACTATTGGGTGAGAGATGGGGCGGGAGCTGGAGGTGGGCGGGAGCTGGAGGTGGGCGGGAGCTGAGGGGCAGGGCTGTGGGGCTGACTGCACAGCCCCTCTACCTGGCGCAAAAACCTGCAGGCCGAGAGAGGAGCTGAGATCCTTCCATGATGTGGCTCTTCGCTCTGGTCCTGTTCTCCCTGGCCATTTCCACAGTTTGGGGTGAGTCCTCCCGAAATACAAATGGTGGGGCACATTGGAAATCCTTCTCTGGGGAATAGCCAAAGAAGATACTTACAGGACCAAGGCATGACAGGTCCTGAATTGCAGCAGCTGCCCTCCAGACATGGAGCGCCCAGCCACCAGCCTCAGCCGTGGGAAGATAGACACCCAACCCCAGCTTCCTTCCCCAAGCACAGGAGAAAAGACAGCTATCCTCGTGTCTCGCAGATGCGAACTTTGACAGCTCAGTTTATTTTCCCCTTGATTATTAATCTGGATATGGACAAATCATGGAGAATGGCTTAGCAGAATATAAATATCGACTTTGGGAGCTGAGTTTGTGGGTTCAAGTCCCAGCTCAGCACTTACTAGCTGTGTGTCCTTAGGGATGTTACTTCACTTTTCTGTGCCTCAGTGCCCCTTTTTTAAAATGGAGATGAGGACAGTTCGTACCTCGTTGGGCTGTCGTGAGGAGGAAATGCGTTGTTGTTTCTAAAAAGCATATTTGCTGATATGAAGAGAGTGCAACAAAAGGATTCATAAATAAAAGGATTGTTTCACTATACAGTATTAATAGAAATTTGAAGCCTGGTATGGCCATTAGAGCAGGAGCCGACTGCCACTTAAAAGATAGTTTGCTACTCTCAGTTCCAAAGGGGAGGGGCATGCCACCACTATGCTGGGCCATGAGGTGAGGCAGCCGGGGGGTCAGGAGGCAGAGGAAAGAGGAGGAATTGGGGGCAAGAGTCTTCATCCTGGTTGCTGTGGGAAGGAAGGGGCGAGGCAGGATAAGCAGGTTTCAGATGAGAAAACTAAAGAACTTCAGTGGGCTCAGGGGCCTCAGGGCTGTTTGAAGTTATGACCACTGCTCACCTCCTGGCAAGGCCGTCCCTTTTCCATCTTCAGAAAGTCCATACTGGTTGCCTGCATTTCCTCAGCTTCCTCATCCATAAAACAGGCATATGAACACCTACCTAGGAAGGCTTTTGTGAAGATTAATTTAATGGTCCTGGAATACACATCCAGTACATAGGAAGTACTCAGTATACAAACATTACCTGTAACACACGTGGTAACTGTTGCTCTTACCACTATGGCTGATGCCTCTCACCCCATCGCCCACTTTGTCACCCTTGGCATCTGGCTCCTGTCCACTTCATCTCTCCTGAAGGTTAGCATTGGGTTTTCTTCTTTAAGAACAAATCTGGGTTATTCTTTCTGCTCTGGCCACACACTTTGAGGGAGATGCTGCCCTTTTGTCTACATCTAAAGTACAGCAGTTGGGAGGACGAGAGGCTACACATCATTTCCTACGAGGAACGCTGGAACCATCTGAGGACGGACAAGAGGAGGCCTGAGGGATGGGCAGGCTCAGGGGTCTGCAAGGCCGCTGCCACATGGGAGCTCAGGACGGGCCACAGCAGGTAGAAGCAGGGCTGATGTGGAAGCTGCAGGGGAGGAACTTCAGCTCAGTGAGGAAGAGCTGTCTGCTCCACAAGAACGGAACAGACGGGGATCTGACCTCAGTCTCAGCCCCTCTGGACGACCCTGCTCAGAGCCGCCAGAAGAATCCTCCTCAAGCTGATGGTCTTACGCTTCCATACTCCAGAGCTGTTCACTGATGCTCATTTACCCACAATAAAGCTCAAATCCTTAGCCTGGCATTCGAGGCCCTCCCAGACGTGAACCTCTCTCACCCCAAGATTATTTTCCACTCCCCCATAGACTCCCTCTGCCTCACATGGGCCATCACTCTTCCTCGGGCAGGCCTTGCCTTTTGCTGTCTCAGAGCCTCACCTCGGCACATTCTCTTCTCTGCTCTATACCTTTATACCCCCTCGCCCATCTCCCCCTGCTCAGTCTCACCTACTGCAAGTCCCAGCTCCAAGGTCACCGCCTCCATGATGCCAACAATCAGAAGCCCTCGCTCCCTCTTCTAACTCCTGGAGGACCCCACTGGTCCCTCTCTCAGGACACTGACCACTGTCTCCCCAGCAGTAGGGTCGAGCATGTATGTGGCTCATTCTCCCCACAAGGCTCAGAGCTTCTGAGAAGAGGGGCCGCCTCTTGTCCATCCTCCCATCCAGCACGCAGCTCAGCGCCAGGATCCTCGTGGATAACTGTCTCCAGGGCTCCTGAGAGCGCAACCCAATGTCTGCTTCACTCCCAGCAGCTCGCCTCCTTGCATTTCCTTCTCACTTGATGCCGTTTTACCTCCATGTCCACTTTGCTCCTTAAGACAGCCCTGGGAGTTAGGAAGGACAGTTGACCTCCTCTCCCTTTTACATAAGAAGAAACTGAGGCCTAGAGAGTTGAGGTGGCTCATTCAAGGTCACATGCTGAAAGCAGCAAGACTCCCAGAATCCAGGTCAAGCCTTTCACTGCTGATGTGTCCTCATTTCCTCTCGCTGTCCCGCAGGGCACCCATCCTCGCCGCCTGTGGTGGACACCGCGCAGGGCAAGGTCCTGGGGAAGCACGTCAGCCTGGAAGGATTTGCACAGCCCGTGGCCGTTTTCCTGGGCATCCCTTTTGCCAAGCCCCCCCTGGGATCCCTGAGGTTTGCTCCGCCGCAGCCTGCAGATCCATGGCCCTTCGTGAAGAACGCCACCTCCTACCCTCCCATGTAAGCCGGGGGCTTTGGCATCTTTCAGTGGGTGTGTGCCTCAAAGTGACGCAGGAAGGAGCCAAGGCCATCCTCCGAGTGGCTCATACTTTGTTCTAGAATCCTCAAGACACTGTAGATCCTTAGAGACATTCCAGAACTCTCACAGCATTCTGGAGCCCTCTATTCAACACATAGTTATAGAGCACCTACTGTGTGCCAGGCATGTTCTAGGTCCTGGGATCCATCAGTGAACAGAACAAAGATCCTGTCTTCATGGAACTTGCATTCTAGGAGGAGATATAGGTAATGAACAACATGAAAATTAACAAATGAATTAGTAATATGTTAGAATATGGTAAGTGCTTTGATGAAAATAAAGCGTTGAGCAGTGAGGAGGATCAGAGGTAATGATTCTATTACTTCTTCTCTTTTGAATTTTGCCATAGTTGGCAGGTAGGGCAAGCCAGGCAGTGTGTGAGTAGAGAGTGCTTTGGGGTGGTGACCAGGCAAGTTCTCAACTCCCAGGTGTGTCTAGCCACCTAGTCAGGAGCAGAGCAATGCTTGGTGTGTCCCATTCACTCTGGTCAATTTTGGCAAAGAAGCCCCTCAACCACACCCCAAGACACCGGGATGCCTACCTGCATCCATTCAGACCTTACTCATCTCAGTAAGGCATTTCTGGGAATTTCCAGGGTCTACCTCTTGCTGCCTGCTTTTCTTTTCTCTTTTCTTTTTTTCTCTTCTCTACTCTTATCCTCTTCCTTCCTTCTCTCCATCCTTTCTTCCTTTTTAAAATAATATTCACTATTTGTAGTTCTGGTTACAAGTGTAATACATGCTGATTACAGAAAAGTGAGGAAGTACGGATAAGTAAAGGTAAGAAAATGAAATTCATATACAATTTCATCCCCTGGAGAGAACTGCTGCTCATATTTTTTATTCTATTTTTGCAGTCTTTTATCTGTTGCATATTTTCTTCCTTAGAAACAGAATCGTAGAAGATTGTGCACCCAGTTCCAGTGTGTGTGTTTTTTTTTCCCACGCCGACAAGCAATTCTCAGATACCAGCTGAGTGTCCTACAATTCAATTAAATTCAGACACTGTTTACCAGGAGGTAGCATCAGATGCCACAGTTTAAAGGCTCAATCCTACAAGACTGTCCTCTGCTTCAGATGCCAATACAAGTCGAGGTTGTTACCTGTGCTTCTGGCTGACCGGCTATAAACCAGAGGGTGCCACGAGACCCTCCTTGGGTTCCACTCATTTGTTAGAGCAGCTCACAGAACTCGGGAAATTAGTTTACTCTCTAGATGACCAATTTATTACAGAGTATATTAAAGGATAGGAATCAACAGCCACATGAAGAGTTACATAGAGTGAGGTCCTGAACAAAGCAGCCTCCATTCCTGCAGAGTTTTGGGCCTGGCACACTGGCACATGGACCTGTTCTGGTTCACCCACCTGGAAGCTCTCTGAACCCCTGTCCTTTGGTTTCCTATGGATGCTTCCTTACATATGAATGATCAATTAAATCATCGGCCATTGATCATTGGTTTAACCTCCAGCCCCTCTCCTTTCCCAAGAGGTCAGTGGGTGGACCGAAAAGCCCAAACCTCTAATCACTGGTTGGTTCTCCTGGCAACCAGTATCCATCCTCAGGTGTAGTCCAGAAGTCACCTCATTAATATAACAAAAGACACCTTTATTGTTCTCATCACTTAGGAAATGCCAAGGATTTTAGAAGCTCTGTGCCAGAAACTGGATGAAAACCAAATATATACTTCTTATCATAAATCACAATATCCCATCACACTATACATATAGTTTGGATGCCTGCTTTGCTCGGTTATAAGTATATAATGACCATCATTCTGTGCCATCAAATATCACAGCCTGACATTTAATAGCTGCCTTACATTGAGAATTGAATTATAATCGATTTACCCGATCTCTTATTTGAGGTCATTAAGTTGTTCTTAATGTTTTGGTAACACAAATAGCACTCTAATGAACATCCTGTAGCTAAATGTTCATACATTTTTATGAATATTTTTGGAGAAGTTGCAAGAAATATAATTTCTGAGTCAAAGAGCATGCACCTTTTCTTAAATTTCCCTCCACTAATGCTGCAACTACACTTCTTCCATTAATTTATGAAAACTTCCATTCATCAGAACTTTGGCAATGCTGGGGCCATTAAAAAATGTTTTTGGTTAATGGACAGGCAAAATAATAATTATTATTGTCATCATAATTATATGTATAATTTTGCTATTTATTTGAATACTAATTGTATTGAGCTCTTTTCTCCCTTTTTGACATTGGAATTTCTTCTTTTATGAATATTACGCCCCTTGCTCTCAGTGATCCAGTGAAATTTGCCCAGGATGGAGATCAGGAAGTCATCTTTGCAGCCTCTGACTCTGCCACTTGACAGCTGGGACGTCCAAGCACCTTAGCGCCTCAGCCACCTCATCTACACACCAGGGCAGTGATGCCTGCCTTCTGGGTGCACTGAGATCAGGAACCGTTGCTTATAATGTCCTTGGAAATATAAGCACTCCAGAGTAGAGGTCTGTGTGACCAGGCTTAGTGACCTTGAGCAGTTTCTCTAATCTCCCTGTCCCTCAGTTTTCTCAAGTATACAATGAGGATAACAACAGAACCTATGTTACGGGGCTGATCTGAGGATTAAATGAGTTAGTACACAGGAGAACTTAAAACAAGTTTGGCATGCTGGGACAACTCAGTGAATGCCACCGGTTATAATCTATGGGGGATGTTTAAGATCTGTTATTAGGGCAACCAAGAGCCCTTGCCTGGGATGCGCTGATGATAGAATCTTAGCATGTCAGGGCTGAAAGACCCTTACGGAAATCACTCCCCTCGCTTAGACCTCCCAGATTCAGGCCAGCCAGGCAAGGTACTCACCCAAGGTCACCCAGCAAATTGGTGGCTGAGGCAGGACTAGAATGCAGTTCTCCTGATGTTGCCTCACAAATATTTCATCCCTGATCTGTTGTATACACTAAATGTCTGCCATTTGAGTGACTTCTTGTGGTTTATAGAAGTCCCTCGTGGACTAGAACACCTGGTTTACCTGGTGGAGGAACATGGTCACCCTGCAGTCCACCACACAGAGCCCGGTGGAGAGCCAGGCTGTGTCCGAGGCATGCAGGAAATGGTCCTCTCCCAGGTGTAGGGGCAGCCTCCTCTCCTTGACCCAGGGCAGCCCAAAGGCTCTGGGAAGGGGACAGGTGCCAGGACTCACTGTACACAGTCCTGGAATACTTTAGTGAGTCCCGTGGCCCCCCTCCCAGATCCCGAGATAACTTCCTGCCCATTCAAGTGTCTTGAATGTGGTAAGAGCAACTCTGTTACAGGTCTAACCCACCCAGTCCAAGGCCAGGCCTGACCGCAGGAGACATCTTGCTCAGCTCTGACTGAACCTCAGGAGTTCTTCCTTCTCCCCTCCCCTCCCAGGTGCTCCCAGGACACAGTGGTGGGGCAGATGCTCTCAGACCTCTTTACCAACAGAAAGGAGAACATTTCTGTCCAGTTTTCCGAAGACTGTCTTTACCTAAACATTTACACTCCCGCTGACTTGACGAAGGAGAGCAGGCTGCCGGTAAGCAGTGGATACCACTGGTCAAGGCTGGTGAGTTCCAGCCCTCCAGGATCTTCTGGTATAGACTGGAAGAGGATGAAGGTAGCTTGGGGTGGGGGCATTAGGCAACATGACTGTTTCAGGAGCCACAGGGCTTCCTTTTCCCACCACAGCCAGACCACGTGACCACAGGAAAAAACAAGATTTCCCACCTCAATTTCCGCTGATGACAGACATAGGACCTCTGGGGAGTTTGCTGTAATCTGTAGTGTACATTTTAGTTTTTCCAGTTCTCTCAAACTAATCGAGGGACAAGAATGATTGCCCTTAGTTGCTGGATTAGGAATCTGATACCCAGAGCGGTTAGATTAGAATTTCCAATAAACTTGGAATTGGAAGGAATGTTAGAGACAAGCCAACAGCTCTACCCTTCCGAGCACCCAGCCACCTCCTGGGACACAGCCGGCATGACGCCCAGGAGTGGAGGGGGTGTCCGTGAACTCACGGCTAGAAGCGTCACTGCACATGCTTGGCCCAAAGAGGTCGGAACAAAGATTCATCCATTCATTCATTCATTCTTCTGTTTTGTACTCAGTGCCCAATACACAGAGCTAGACTTGGGGGTTAGGAGAAAGGAGGAATATCAAAGCATTACCAAGCAGCCCCTGCCTTTGAGGGTCTTGCCATCTGGGCTGCACAGACGAACACTAACTTCAGCAAATCTCTGCTGCCCCGACCTCGGCTCAGCCTTCACTCAGAGATGACTGAGACTCAGCCGCTCCACCTGGAGGCAGGTGGAGATCAGACGTGTGGGAGGAACAGGGGCTCTGGAACCTGCAGGCAGGAGACCTCTAGCTATGGACACAGTTGCTGGAACTTCAGGACCTGGGTTTAAATCCTGGTTCTGCCTTTTACTAGCTGAGACACCTGGCTCTCTGTCCTCAAAAGGAGAATAATCACATATGAGGATTCAATGACGATGATCAGGCTTTCTCTCAGTGCCTGGAAGCCAGGACAGTGCTCCTGACACGTCACTTAGAGCTGAAGGGAAGATCTTCCTCCTTCCCTAACAGCCGACCTACTGCACCCTGGACATTGGCTGCAGTGCGCTGGGTGGCCCATCATGTGGATCTGGAGCCAGACCGCCTGGGTTCAAGTCCCGCTTCCACCTCTTATTAGCTGTGCGACCTAGGGCAGGTTAAGTGCCTCAGTTTCCCTGTCTGTTAAATGGGGCAATAGCAGTCCCTACTTCATGGGTGGTTTAATTTCAAATGCTCAAACAATACTTGGCACATACCTCGTGTTCTGACTGTTTTTATTAACAAAATTATTGCAATGCTATTATGTTAGCCATTCTCAGTTTACTGCTATGTGAGCTTTTTAAACGCAAGAGCCACATGTTACATATTATTGTGACCACTCTCAATCCTCATCACATCCCTGGCACATAGTAGGTTCTCAGATCATGTTAGTCAAATGATTGAGGACTTCTTGGAGGAGGTGGCTTTTAGGCTGGGCTTTGGAGTATCGGTGGGATTTGGGGATGCAGAGGAATCGGGAGGAGGCAGAGGGAAATCCTATCTGGAAGATACACCACTGCGGGCATGTGTGTCTCTTGAGATAATCATTCACACATGAGAGAAGTTTAACTCACTGCAAAGGAGATAACTAAGATGAAGCTGAAGTACAAGGGCTGCCACACGCAGAGTATATTGAGCTGGGTGAGGGGTCCAGGCATGAGGATGATGGGAGTGCTGGGGAGAAGATGTCCCTCTGAGCCTTGGCTGTTCCCATGATGGTGTTCTCAGCAGGAAGAGCCCTGGAAGAAGGAGGCACTGAGGCTGGGGAGACAGGCAGGGGCAACGAGGATGCATTGAGTGGGGTGGTGGCCTGGGCCCCAGCTGGGAGAGTGGGGGAGGAGAGCAACTGCCTGCTCCAACGTGGCTGGGGACTGCTGGACTTCAGGGCTCCTTGAGTCATTGCTAAGAGGTAGGCGACCAAAGCAGACGGCCTGTTGAGGTCCTTCTCAACTCTGCTGCTTATAACCAGTGTTCTTGCTTCCTCCCTGTCCAGGTGATGGTGTGGATCCACGGAGGTGGGCTGGTTCTAGGTGGAGCATCAACCTATGATGGGCGGGTCCTCTCTGCCCATGAAAACGTGGTGGTGGTGACCATTCAGTACCGCCTGGGCATCTGGGGATTCCTCAGGTAAGATATGGGACTCCGCCCACTCCACATTGGCCCCCAAAGTGAGGGTGCTAGGACTCGGCTCTTGTCATGTCAGTGCTCAAGGGGATCTTTGCTAAATTCCCTAGTAAGGCCTGCAAGTCCTTTCATAATTGCGCTCCACCCACCTCCTCATTCCCCAGGCACACTGGTCCCCTGCTTCTGAGGTTTTGCATGTGATTTTTCCTCTGCCTAGAATGCCTTTTCTACCTGACAAACTCTTATGCATTCTGAAAGGTCCTACTCAAATGTTACCTCCTCAGAAATACTCATCTCCTTTTCACCTGTGCTGCCCCAGCACGTTGCAACCTCTAAAGTGACAGTTAGCATGCAGCACAGCAGTTAGAGGCTTACACATCTTACCTCATGGGAAAGGAAGGCAGGAGCAGACTCATGATGGGAGCTCAGGGAATGCTTGTGGGTGAGGAATGGTTGGCTAGATCTGAGAGGTTGTCAGAGCATATGATCTCAATGCACAGCCCTCCCAGGGAATATCAGATCCTCTCATCCTATTTCCTTCTGCATTTGGCACACACATGAGTCAAGCCTAGAGTCTTCTCCGTCAAGTCTCCATGGAAACAGAACCAGGTTTCCTGCAGGACACAGTTACCATGAGCCTTTTCTGAGTGCACTGGCCCCAGCATCTCTGACCCTGAGATGGCTGATGGGTGGGCTGGGGGGCGGGCGGGGACTACTCTCTGGAAAGACCTATGGAGCTGGAGAAAGTTATCCCAGGTGAGTCCAGAGATGTATCAGCTTCATTAAGACTACTAATCCCTTTCACCCATGGCCCTTTTCTCTGCTCCCTTTTACAGTAAAACTGTTACATTGGCTCTCCCCACGTCCTCTCCTCCCAGCCTCCCCTCTACCTATGCCAGTTAGGTATTCACCCCAACTACACCACCAGACAGTTCTGGCCAAGGTCACCAATGACCCGCCAGATCTTGGCCCAACCTTGGCAAACAACCACACACAGTCTTGGCAGCATCCACACATGATCACTCACACCATTTTGAAATGCTTCCTCTCTCAGCTCCTGGCCACCTCCTACCTCATGGACTGCTCGTTCACTGCATCCTGGTCCTCCCTGACCTCGGGCCTCTGTGTTCGTGTCCCTCACCATCCCCACTACTGCCCTGAGCAACCTCAGAGGGCACATTCGCTGTCTCTATTTTGAGCTCCAACTTCCCTTTTGAAACCCAGATGCGCATATGAACTATCTCGTTCTACATCCTGCTGTCTCCACTGGACGTTACAGGGCACCTCACACTTTACATGAACAGACTCAACTCTTGACTCCCACTGCCCCTCCCCCAAAACACTCCCACTTTCCCACAGCGCCTCCTGCTCAGCTCCTGCAGCTCCATCCTTCTGCTTGCTCAGAATAAAGGTCCTGTGGTCAGCCTTGACTCTTCCCTTTTTCTCATACCCCACATCCGGTTGGTCAGCAAATCCTCTGCTTCCACGTTTAACATTCATTTAGAATTCAGTCAGTTCTCACCTCCTCCCTTGCACACACCCTAAGCTAAGCCCTCTGTGTCTCTCACCTGGATTATTGTAATAACGGCTACTTTTATAATCTTGCTAATTTTATACTCTGTGTGATCTGCACAGTGATCATTTAAGACATAAAGAGAATCATGTCCTTCTGCAGTGACTTGCCACATTACTTACAATGACATCCAGTCCTTACCAAGGGCCACAGGGCCCTCTCTAGCTACATGTCCTACACTCACACTTTGTTCACTGGACCACGGGCCCTTGGCACTTGCTGTTTATTCTTCCTGGAATTCCCTTCTTTGGATAGTTGCGAGGCTCATACTCTCATTTATTCAGGTCTCTACTCAAATGCCACAGCCTCAAAGAGGCCTTCCTTGGTCATGTGATCTCAAATAGGATCCCACTGCCCCACCTCTGCCTGTTCCTTTACCAGGTTTTATTTCTCCTGAAAGCATTTTCACTACCTGATATATACTCTATACTTTTCTCTTTATTTGTTTATGATCCATAGTGTGAGCTCTGTGCAGTCAGAGATTTACCTGTTTTGTTCTCAGAAGAGCTCCTGGCTACTAGAACAGCGTTGGCACATGGTAGATGCTCGATGAATAGATGCTGGATGAAGGAATGTAGAACCAACAACAGAACAATGCTACAGGAGAGGAAGGCAGGTGGAGAGCCCTGTGTCAGGGCTGTGAAGGCCCCGTCTTATTCCAGAAGGCTCACCTAGATCCCCCAGCCCCATCTGTGGTCCTGAGAGCCCTGCCGCAACATCTCTGCTTCCACCCACCCTGTTCTCTTACTCACAGCACAGGGGATGAACACAGCCGGGGAAACTGGGGTCACTTGGACCAGCTGGCTGCATTGCGCTGGGTCCAGGAGAACATCGCCAACTTTGGAGGGGACCCCGGCTCCGTGACCATCTTCGGACAGTCAGCGGGAGGTGCAAGTGTCTCTGTTCTTGTAAGTGTTCCTGGTTCTGATGTGGCTCCTGATGGGATCTTTACAGATCAGCCAATCTAGCCTGGGGCACCTGTACTTACAAGACCTGGATTTAAGGCTGACCCCACCTTGCACAGCCTCAGATGGTGCAGAGCTAATGGCAAAACTCTCCTTGGCCCCCAGGAAGCTCAGAGCTCAGCTTAGCATCCTGGGTCCATAAGAATCTCCAGCAGCTGCTGCTACAAAGGCATTCCTCTCTTCTCACTTGGTTGAGCTTCTCTCTCCTTTCTAATCATTTTGACATTAGGACTCACCTCCTTCTCTTGGGAATTAGGTATAGGTATAAATTCTGAATGAGAGGAGGCAACCATGAGAGTTGGGCAGAGTGTCGTGGTTTTGCTTGAAGCCAGATCTATGTGTCAAGGGGACACGAGCACTAAGAACAGCTCAGGGGCCTCCTCTCAGGTGGTCTGATGTCTAGTCCATGCCCAAGAGGGAGGGCAGCAGTCTCTGGACTGAGTGATCGAGCTGGGCTGAGGGAAGCAGGTAAGAGGAAGGAGGGGTTAGAAGGTGGGATGGGGAGGGATGGGACAGGGGATATGGGACACAGACATGACCTGGGAACCTGGTGAGGGGGATGGGGCTGAGGGAGACACTGAGAGAAGCAAAGATAGAAAACCAGATTAGAAGGTGCTGGAAGCTGTGAAGACCCCTCCAGCTGCCTCACAGTTGAGCAGAGGGTCGGCCCTATTACCATACTTTTAAAACATGTATTGGTTTCATAGTTGATACTCAAAGGGAAATGTTTCTATATTTTATACAGTTGAGAAAAAGGAAAAGTACAGATAACCCCAGAGAAGAAAATTGTCATCCACAATCTCATTCCAGAGATACTTACCATGGACATCTTGAGACATATTTTTCTAGACTTTTTTCCATGACCCACTCTATCCATCTATCTATCATCTACCTATGATTTTTTTCAAAGAAAATCCTTCCTTAGCATTATAATAAAATATTTCCCTAGCCATTAAGTGCTCTTCCATAATATTATTTTTTAAGGTCACATAGTACCCCATGGTAAAAATGAAAAATAGCTTATTCAGCCAATCTCATAATATTGGAACCTTGAGTTATTTACAATTTTAACTATTTGAACAGAATGAGCATTCTTAGAAATCGTTGTACGCCTCCATAGTCATTTTTCTAAGGATATATTCTGAGTAATGGAAATGCAGAATCAGAACCGTGTCTTTAAAGTGTTGCTAGGACTTTCTAAGATTCTTTCAGATACTCTTGATTGCTATAATCAGCATGCATGCCACACACTTCCTGTTCTATCCTTCACTCTGTGTTCCTGGCTGCCTCCAGCTGAGGGAGGTTTCCTTGGATAATCTGAGTCCCAGGATCAGCCTGGGGTGCAGGCCAGGCCAGGCGAGGACCAGTCATGTCCACTGAGCCCCAGGGTCTCCAGGGGAGGGGCCAGGGCAGAGCTGGGATGGGAGTAGCTCTTGCAGACCCCTCCTGTGAGCATAAACTCTCTTCCTTCCCACTCCCCTCCCAGGTGTTATCTCCACTGGCCAAGGACCTCTTCCATCGGGCCATCTCGGAGAGTGGCGTGGCCCTCACTGCTGTTGTGGCTGATGACTACATGAGGGCTGCAGTTCAGGTAGGGTGGGATGGAACGCCTCTTTATTGATCGATGGAAGGGACGTGGCTCCTGAATCCTGCTGTCGCCTGTGATCTCTGCAGCAATTTGCCAACTTTTCTGGGTGTAACACCACCACCTCAGCTGTCATTGTTGACTGCCTGCGCCAGAAGTCAGAGAAGGAGCTCCTGGAGGCATCACTGAAGATGGTAGGTGCATCCATTCTTGTGGCCACACAAGCCCCCACCCTGTAAACTTGGCCTCAGGCTTCAACATTTCAGTTGTCCCTTTGCCCTGGAAAAACTACCTGGAACATTGTCTCCTCTCTCAGGAGCAGTGTCAGCCTCTGGATCTGAAATAACAATTTTCTTTTTTTCTTTTTTGTTATGAAGTATCTCAAACATTAGCAAAGTCAAAAAATAACACAGTGGACAAATGTGTGATAATCCCCCAGCTGTATTAAAACTATTCTTGTTTTCAGATGTGTATATACACTTTAATTGAGGTAGCGTTGGTTTGCAACATTACATAACTTTCAGGTGTACATCATCATATTTTAACTTCTGTATAGACTATATCGTGTTTACCTCCAAAAGTCTAGTTTCCGTCTGTTACTGTACACTTATCCCCTTTTACCCCTTTTCCCCTCCCCACACACCCCTTCCTATGTTGTAACCATCAATCTGTTCTCTGTATCTATGTGTTTGGTATTTTTTAAAATCTTCCACATGTGAACAAAATCATATGATATTTATCTTTCTCCATTTGACTTATTTCACTTAGCATAATACTCTCAAGGTCAATCCATGATGTTGTAAATTGCAAGGTTTCATCTTTATTATGGCTGAGTAGTATTCCATTGTGTGTATATGTATATATATATATATATATATATATATATATATGGCACATCTTCTTAATCCATTCATCTGTTGGTGGGCACTTAGGTTGTTTCCAAGTATTGGCTGTTATAAATAATACTGCAATGAACATAGGGGTGGAATATATCTTTTCAAATTCATATTTTCACATTCTTTGGCTAAATACCCAGAAGTGGAGTAGCTGGATCATATGGTAGTTCAATTTTTAATTTTTTGAGGAGTCTCTATACTGTTTTCCACAGAGGCTGCACCAATTTACATTCCTACCAGCACTGTACGAGGGTTCCCTTTTCTCCACAATCTCTCCAACACTTGGTATTTCTTATCTTTTTAATAATAGCCATTCTGACAGGCATAAGGTGATATCTCATTGTGGTTTTGATTTTCACTTCCGTAATAATTAGTGATGTTGAACATCAAATGTATTTTTAAGAAGTTTAACACTACATATTCCCGGAGGTACCTACCATCGTGAATGTTGGGGGGCGGGGACATTAAGAACAAAGATTTTCAGAAAGGTCATCACAATTTATGTCAGTTAATTTAGAATCCTAAATTAACCCAATAGTTGCCCAATTTTCTAGATTTTCAGAGACTCTTCCTTGATTGTGATTCTCAAATATCCATACATCCACTCATTAATCTATCCAACTAACCATCCATCAATTCATCCATCCATCTATCCACTCATTATCTTATTATCCATCTATCCATCCAAAACTCTATCCAATTCATCGATATCCTTTTATCAATCTAGCATCAATCCATCTGTGACTTTCATTCATCTGTTATCAATCATCCATGCATCATCAGCCACCATATTATCTTCACTCCATCATTCTTCCTTCTAAAATCAATGATCCATCCATCACCTATCTGTAGTTATCATCCACCTAGCCACTTATCTATCCAATTCACACATACTCCATGTATTGACCAACTCCATCCATCCATTCATTCATCCATCCATGCTAGGTATATGGGGAGGGGGTGGTAAAAGGGATGATGATGCAAACTTGAATTGAATATAGTCCCTGCTCACAAGAAATTATTCAGGAGAAACATACCATACTTTGTGGGTTATATACTTTGGGGGTTAAGTGTGATAGTAGTATAGAGACAGGAAACATTCCACATAGTCAGCAGGGATGCTTCACAGAGAAGGTGAAATTGAGCGTTGATGGATGGCTATGGCAGTGGGTCATCACAGGACCAGACACCCGGAGAATACAGCATTAGGACCACCAGAAATTATTACCTTTGTAGGGTTTGGGGAGGGTGTGGATGTGAACTCAGGAGTAGCCTGAGCCCCTGCACTCTCCATGTGGACAATGGGATCCTGAGGATACTCCTGGGCCCCCAGAAACTGGCCTCTGCTCTGTTTCCATGGGTTAACTCCACCATGGCCCTAGGGCATGGATCCAGGTTTTTCTGGCTCAAATGAGGTGACCAAAGTGTTCAAAGAATAAAAACATAACTGTTTTCTGATGCCTGGAACAAAGCAAATTTACTTCAGCAATTCTCCGTATGGCTCAAGAGGACTCATCTTATAAGGGGAGAGTGGTGACTTTGAGAAAACTCAAAGAATCTAAGAGCCCATGTTATCCTTCTGAGATTTTCTGAGATCATGTGGAAATGTTTCCCTGATTACCCACTCTCCTCAATACACAACACACGCACACACCCCTGGCTGGTAGAGCTGCAAAACATAATAGAGGGACTCTACTGGTCGCTTGCTGTATACTGATCAGAACTGTTAGCTATAGCATAACATTACAATCAATGGAATCTTGGTGAACACACAACAAACAGAAGTGTAGGGTGGGGTGAATTTCTGTGAGCTTACATGAATCAGGACTTTCTAATGGAGGATGAGAAAACTCATCTCAAAGTGCATAGAGAAGAAAAAGCAATGTGTTGTAAGAGACTCTTCAGGTAACTAACTGAAAACTAAACTACAGTTCAGGAGTAGATGGCTTCAGGCATGGCTGAATCCAGATGCACATATGATATTATTAAGAATCTAAATGTCTCTGTCTCTCAGCTTTTTATCTCTCAGTGTTGGCTTCACTCTCAGGCAGGTGTGTCCCCTGGAGAGGTTAAAGACAAGAAGAGCACTCTAGAAGTATATTCTATCTGCTTGGAAACCCTCTTTCCCAATAATCCAGCTAAAGTTTTGGGGTAAATTCTATTGGACTTACATGGCTTGTGCCCATCCCTGACCTAATCTCTGTGGTCAGGGAGATGGGGCACCCCAGGTCACACATAGAGGCCTGGATTCATGGACTGAGAGTGGGGAAGAAGGAGGCCCCTCAAAGGAAAAAGGGGGTGTTGTTGCCTGAGGGAACAAGAAAGGGAAATGGATGGAGGGCGGGGCAGGCACCACCACAGACGTCCTCTCCAGAGCCCCCTCCCCTGTCCTACACCTACACCCTGTGCTCATGCCCAGGGCAGCCAGGGTCCGGCTTTTCTCCAGGAAGCTTCTCACCCACATCGTCTGCCTTTGTCTTCACAGAAATTTCTCATGCTTGATTTTACTGGGGATTCCAGAGAGGCAATGACCTTTGGTTTCTTGATTACAGTTTTAAGTCTTGATATGTTTAAGCTAAAATTGAATATGAATGAAAGAATCCTCCCTGTAGAGTCATAGAAATTCCTTGTGTTCATATTGCTGAGGCCCAGAGAGGGGTAGTGACTTGCCTGGATAACACAGCCAGGAGGACCAGACGTAGGACTGAAACCTGTTCCCCTGACTCCCAGTCCAGGGCTCTCAGTCATCAACTCTGTGTCCCCTGGGCCCAGACTACCCCCTTTCTTCATTACGTTTCTTGCTCCTAAAATTGCCCCCAAAGGAGAAGGCTGGACTAACAGCTTCCCCCTTGGGGAGATGGAGATAACTAGATAAGGGGTTTCTTCAGCAGCCTTCACTGAGGAGCCCAGATATTCTCATGGGAGGCTGCAGGGTTGACTGGCTGTGCAAGCTGCACTGTCTGCAGGGCCATCAGGAAGGAAGCCAAGCGTCTCAGTCCTGAGGACTCCACCAGAACGCCCAGACACGCAGGAAACTCCAACAGCATCCTCCCCATTTCCTTCATCCTCCCCTCCTACCTTCTAAGGTGTTGCCAGGTTCCGATGACATTACCTGTGCAATACCATACAATCCTGTTCTCTTTGCTCTCTCCCAGGAAATAGTAGCACTACTTTAAAAGGCGTTGTACGGATTAAATGAGATTCATTCCGTCATTCAGCAAAGATTTAATTAGCGCTTAATGAGTGTCAGGACCTGACTCAGGAGCTGGGGATATAGGAGCGAAACAGGCTAAACAGATGAAATCCACGCAGATCTGTGGTGTTGGCCTCACACTCAGATAGGCGGAGGGGGGAGGTGGGTGTTTCCTTGAGGTGGGGAAAGCACAACACTATGCTGCCTCTTCCCCAGAGCTATCCCTTCCTGGCCACTGTGGTTGATGGAGTGCTGCTGCCAAAGATGCCTAAGGAGATTCTGGCTGAAAAGACGTTCAACACTGTTCCCTACGTCGTCGGACTCAACAAGCACGAGTTTGGCTGGATTCTTCCAACGGTGAGAATGTGCTGGTCTCTCAGACTCCCCTCCCCTGCCCTTCACATCACCTCTCCCGTCTCAGGCCACAGGAGCTCCTCCTCCTCCAGACCCCCCTAAGGGTCCAGGGCAGCCATCCCCTTCACACAAGTTGACATATCCATGGAAACCTTCTCTGAGATTTCCCAGCTGTCACGTGGGTGTGTGGCCCTGGGGACACCTGTCCCCAAACCCTCTCTGATTGTTCCCCAATCCGAGAATCCTGAAATGTCAATGCTGGGGGCCTGTAGAGACAATCACAGGGCAGATGAGAAAACCGAGGCCTGGAAAGGGAAGGAGCTCAGGGGTGAAGGAGTGTGAGGCTGGGGCCTGGCAGCCTCTCCCCTTGGGCTTGGTGCCTTCATGATTTCTCCATAAACCTCACACATGCTCCTAGTCATCCAACTGCAAAGATTCAGAGGAGCTCACTTCCTCTTGAGTTAAAATGACTGCTGCAAGCTAGGAAGGGCTGTCCCTTCTGCCAAAGATAAAGCCAACAGGAGTGTAAGTGGTGCGGACAGGTTTTATTATTTATACCACTGCAGTGGGGAAAAGAGTCCAGCGTGAACTGAGGTTAAGTCCCTGAAACTAAAGGCTGGAGTCTATTTAAAGGCTCGATGCACTCAAGAAAGGCTGTGGGGTGGGAGTGGAGGTTTGTTCATGTGTCTAGGCCACCAGGATTAGTTAATTGGCACCTACCCAGAGGAGCAACAAACCCTCTAGTCTTTATGACAGGAGGCAGTGGAATAGGTTGGAGCAAGGTGCCCAAAGAGGTTTAGTCTTTCTCCTCCCACAGAGACTGAGAGAGAGCAAGGGTCATCCCCTGAAGTCTGCATTTCAAAGAGGTGGCTCTCGGGTCCTTGAGGAAACAGGTTGGATGGTAGACTTACGTCTCAAAGACAGAGAAAGGATTTATAATTGAAAGATTTCTAAAGTAGCTGCTTTAAGAGAGTGTTCAGGGAACTGTCAACTGATCGGCAGGTTTGGGCTGGAACAAACAGTAAATTCCCCTGGCAGCAGGGAGCTTTCTCAGGCAGGCATTTTAAGGGAAGCTGGGGTCATCCTAAAGACAGGGCCTTAACTGCTAGAAGTCTGCATAGAGTTTTGACAAGTCTGTTACTATAGAGATTTACTTAGAGTTCTTATGTGCAGAGTTCTTCAATTCTTACTTTGGAACATTTTAAGAGGTTGTACTGAAGGACCAAAGCCAGAATGGCAGGATTTGGGGCTTCCTCAGTCAGCTGAGACAGGGAGGGTATTTATGAGCTCTGTGTCCTCTGCCCAGAGCCCTCCAATTCCACACTAACTTGGCTTGAACCTTCCCTCTCTGCCTTGATGGCCATTGTGGGGACTCTAGTCTGACACATATATACACATACATACTGCAAAGAGCTGGGACAGCTCTTCTTAACATTCGCTTTAACCTCTTTTCATTGAATTTCTGGATAAAGCAAGTCCATTTGATTCACTGATTTTGCCCAGCTTATCAGAGACCCTTGCACATAAAGACGTGGTAAGGTGACCTTCACACTCCATTGGTTTGGTTGGCTGGTCAGTTTGATTCTTCCTGCTGATTCCCAATGATTCACAACTGATTAGCCATTGTTTTAACAGGTGATGGGCTTCCCACTCTCTGAAGGCAAGCTGGACCAGAAGACGGCCACGTCACTCTTGCAGAAAGCCAACCCCATCCTGGTAAGAGTCTAGGGAATCACACGAACTGGCCAAGACCCGAAGAAGGGAGGTGCTTGCCCCAAATCACAGACCAGTTAAATGACAGAATGAAGACTGGGGCCAGAGGGTTCTACCACCTTTTTTCTGCTTTATTCCTCTCACAAGGCTTAAGGAGTGGTTTCACAGGAATCAAGAGGTTCACCATTAATGCAAGAAGAGAAGCTGTGTCACTCACGAGGGAGTGGGGTCACTTTCACTCTTGATCCATTTCAGCACATCCCTGAGGAACTGACTCCAGTGGCCGTTGAGAAGTATTTAGGAGGGACAGACAACCCTGTCAAAAAGAAAGACCTGTTCCTGGACTTGATGGGGGATTTGATGTTTGGTGTCCCAATTATAACTTTGGCCCGGCTCCACAGAGGTAAGTCCCTGAAGTCGGACAGCAAAGGGCCACTGACCCCACTAGCTTTGCTGTCTGCCTTGCCCACTCCTCAGCATGCACAGATATGTGGAAATTGCTGAGAGTCAGGCCTACAAGGCTGATTCCACATGGCCTGGGCTGGGGCACCGTCTTATTTTAGTTTCTGCCAGAAGCCAACTCTGGGAAAAAGATCTGAATACAAGTAGTTTATTTGGGAGATGATCCCAGAAAACACCTTTAGAAGGGTGGAGAAGTGACATGGGAAGGAGAAGGAAGTCAACCCATGCTGCCCTGTCAAGCAAGTATCCATGTAGACACTCGAGCTGGGGAGCTCTGGGAAACCCGCAGAAGACATTCTCAGGGTTATCCGGGGTGAACAGCATGGGAGCTCAGGTATTTATCCTCCAACTGCCAGGACTCACTGGTTGAAGCCTATTCCCAAGGGGTTGTTAATTCTCTGGTGCTTTGACTTGCTGCACACATGGGTCTCTGGTGGCCAAAGACCTCAGGCAAAGAGCGACAGATGCCAGAGGTGGAAGTCAGTCTGGCATTTCCAGAAGTAGGGGATGTGGTGAGGCACCAACACCATCTGCTACAAGGACTCCTCACCTGAAGTTTTTGTGGTCCGTGGGGCCAAAGAGCACATATTAGAAGATGTGTCTTGGAAGGTTTCCAAGGTCAGAGCTAGCTTCAAACTGATTTGTTACCTAGTGGAGCTAGGGGTACAGTGAAGCCGAGCATAGGATCAGATGGGTTATCAGGGAGCAAGAGAGACAAAAGGAATGAAGACTAGCCTGTTATCAATGAAATCCAGTAGTGTAAACTGTATGTATGTAGATGTTCTTGAGTGTGGATGCATCAGTAGGCAAACGGGTTCATGTGAATTGATCTGGTGTCCCCAAAATGGTAGTTATTATGAAAAGACTTACCCAAGGTTTCAACAACATTCATTCATTCAACAAACACCTGGCTCAAATCCAGTTCCAGCTATCTGCCCTTAAGCAAGTCACAGAACTTTTCTGAAACAGTATGTTATGCTGATAAACAGGGGTTTCCTGCAGCGCCACATGTGTCCAGCACACACACACACTCACAATGGCAGCTGTTGTTAATATTGTCGTTGTTGTGTACTCAGGTTCCAGGTGTGCCACCAATTCCCCGAGTGCTCGGGGCCCCCAGAGACCTTGATACCATCCAGGTGTGCATCAGGTAAAATGAACTGTGCATGAATCTATGTCTTCTCAGATGCCGGAGCCTCCACCTACGTGTATGAGTTTCAGCACCGCCCAAGCTTCTCATCAGTTATGAGACCCAAGACGGTGATGTGGGACCACGGGGATGAGCTCTTCTCACTCTTCGGGGCCCCATTTTTAAAAGGTGATGGCAGTTTGGTGACTACAAACTTAGGATTAGAAGATCTGGGTACAGGTCTCAGTTTGGTGGCTTTGGACAAGTTCCTTCTTCTTTCTAGGCCTTAATCTCTGGAATTCTCCATAATACGGTTGAACTGTGAAGGTTCCCAACATTTCTCTTATTTTAACATATATGATGGAGAAGGTGTACCCATGTGCCCTCATTCATGATCACTCTAAGAATCCAGACCTGGGCATCAATATGACAGGTGGTGGGTCACCTGCAGGGCCCTGCTGAAGGGCTAGAATGCCACCACTCACTTCCCACTGGCAAGAGCACATGAGAATATGAGTGAGGGTAAGGTTAGAATATGTATTGTCTTTGAATCAGGACTAATGTGTGTCTGTCTATAGATCACCTATCTATCTAAAACTCATATCTTATTAAATTTATGAATATGATAATTTAAAAAGAATCACAAATGTCTTCAATGCCTTAACTGTATGCAATAACAGATAACTTGTGTGTGACCCACCTCAAGGCATTCCCCGGTGGGGCGACGCCTTAGGGCCATTGCAGCTCTGTTATTTTTTTCAGATTCTGTGCATATGTGGGTGGGTGAAGAAGGTTGTGGAAAGACTCAAAAGAGAGCAATCCTGGGAGGTGGGCTTGCTTTAGTGGAAACCCTGGGGTGTGGCATTGCCACCCTGAAGGGAGAGGGTCGAGGGCTGGTGGGCACAGAAGACAAAGGCAGACCACTCAAGTATTGACTGCAGCCCCTCTCTGTGCCTTAGATCAGTAACTCTCAAGCTTAAAATGCACACAGATGTCCCAGAATCTTATTGAAGTGCCACTTTTCACTCAGTAGGTCCGGAGAAAGGGCTCAGATTCTGAATTTCTAACAAGCTCTCAGGTGATGCTGCTGCTGAAGGACCATGAACCACACTTTGAGTAGCACAATCTTGTCATCTCCTTCCCCACAGAGGGTGCCTCAGAAGAGGAGATCAATCTCAGCAAGATAACGATGGGCTTCGCGGGCAACTTTGCTCGGACTGGGTGAGCCTCGTGGAAAAGATGGATTTAGATAGATAGATATTGGGAAGGGGTAGCTTCTAATATTTGATGATCAAACTTCTGGCCCTGTGAGTTCTGATATGAGAGCTCTCTAAAAATGGACAAGCTGCCCAGAAGATGGTGAGCTCCCTATCTCTGGAGGCCTCTGATCTTCTTCTGAGATGAAGTTAGGGGGTCCCTGAAATCTCAGATGGTTGTTGGTACCACACAACAGCTTTGGGGGGTTTCTGTTTGATTCTGTTCCCAGGGACCCCAGTGGTGAGGGGCTGCCCCACTGGCCAGCATTCGACCAGAATGAAGGGTACCTGAAGATTGGCATCCCCACCCAGGCAGCCCAGAAGCTGAAAGACAAGGAAGTGGCTTTCTGGACCGAGCTCCTGGCCCAGAAGGCAGTGGAAGAGCCACCCCAGACAGAACACTGAGCTGTGAACAGGAAGCCCGGCTGGATTTGGAGTCCGGGGAGAACCCACACAGAGGTATTCTACAGAGGGTGTTTATGGGCCAAAGAGACATATTATTGTGGATGCTTGGAAATTGCTGGTGGGAGTAGAGAGAGGGTGAGGAGGGAGAATTTCTGTATCTGTGGCCTCAATTTGGGGAATAAATGTGTTTTTTTGGAGACCAAGTTAGTATCTGTGTCTTGGGCTGGATATAAAACCATCCTCCTTAGAGAGAGAAGGATGGAGAGAGAGGGCATCATTGGCAGGAAGGTGACTCTGGTGGGTCTGGCTTGGCTTCTGCACAAGCAGAGTCCAGCAGACGGGGCCCAGGCCATTGTTGAGGGGGAATCCACATCTATACCACGTCTATGGGCCCACAGCAACTTCCAACAATAGCATGTGGAGTGCAGAGTGCAGTGTCCCTGTCCTCCCTGTGGAAGTACCTGTAGAGGCGGAGGTGGCACAGATTGAGGATGTACCTGGAGTCAATGGGGGAGGGTGGTGCCTTAGTGACCCTGTGGCAGGTTGCGTGCCCCTTACTGACCCTTCCACAGGCCTACAAGTCTTTCTTCAACATGCACAGTATCCTCTCAGGCCCCTCCCTAAGGCCATAACTTCCAACAACTCGTCTGAGCCCCCTCTGCAGCCTGGACCACTTCAGGGCCAAGCAGTGACCACCTTGGAGTGATCCCTCAAGTGTCACCCTAAAACTGCCTCTTGCAGAATCCCTTGTGTGACTTCTGGCTTCTACTGTGATGTAGAAAACTCTAGGGAGTGACACTCCCACCATAACAGCAAGAAAACACTGGAGTATCCTCAAAATCATGACTTTTCCTGAGCCATTCAAAGAGCTGAGATTGCAGGTGAATAGTTACCCTGAGGTCTCAGGAAGACAGGCACTTTGGAGCACAGATGGGGTATGGATGCTGACTCACCGTCCCCTACAGGTGGAAGATGGGGTCACCGTGGGTGTGAGCAGAATTACTCTAAAACTTCTAATCAAGTACAAAGGCTCCATGAGAGCTGGTACGAGTGTATAAAGTCCTCGGGAGCCACAGACCCACAGGGCAGTTTACACAGACTCTTCTCCATGGACCTCCATCAGAGGCTCCTGAGAAAGATGGGGAGCAGGTAGTAAGACCAGAGAAAGCCTGCCTCAGGGATGCAGGCGTGAGGCCTGCTTAGACACTTCTCTCTTAAGGAACAAACTCCCTAAACCACAGGGGCAAGGGCAGCAAACCCACCTCCCTCAGGGCCCTGCGGGAGAGCTATTCAGGCCGTGGAAAAGGAAAATTTAAAAATTATCTGCCCCTGGGCGTGGTTCAGGAGACCATCCTGGGTCTTTTTCATTAAAGGTCCTTTACTGCTGGGGAGGGGCAGAACCAATGAGAAAGCCCACTCTCCACGACCAAGGGACAGAGGGTCTCCCTAAGGCTGAGGTCTGACCAGGACAAGAGAGACCACTCCTGGATGCCAGCACTGAGTTAGCACACACCAGGGACTGAGCAGCAGAAATGTACCACTGGAGGGGGGAGACAGTGTGGAGAGAGACCCTCTCTGAGGGGCAGGTGCACAGGGCAGGGCTACAGCTGAGCATGGAACAGGAATATTGGGGAAAACTTTTGAGCAGCTCTCACCCTAAGCACAAGGTAGCACTACAAGAATGTGAATCGGGTGGTGACTGAAGAAAACCACAGCAACAACGAAACTCAAGCCCTGCTCCACTCCTGATAAATGCACTCAATTCTCTAAACGCACAAACATGCACATGCACGCACGCACACACAGAGTATCAGTCTAACAGAAGGAGAGGCATGGCCATTTCCAGTCATAAATACTATTTACTTAATTTCTGCTCTCTTACTCATGCTGCTGAGGGAGACTCTACATCTCTCATCCAAAATTACAAACACAAAAAACAAGAAAATCATTCCCACTAACAGGAGACAAAGCAGTCAAGAGAACCAGATTCAGACACAGCCCAGGTGTTAGTACTAACAGACTAGGGATCTAAAACAACTATATGGAAAACTTCTCTGAACAGATGGGTAATTTCAGCAGAGAGAAAAACTAGAAGGTAGAAGAAAATGGAAATGTTGGAAATTTTTTAAAAATACTAACAGAGATGAACAATACCTTCAATGAGTTAATCAGTACATTTGACACAGCTGAGGAAAGAATGAGTGAAGTTGAAGAGAGGTCCATATAAACTACTGAACTTACATTAGAAAAGGTGTGGGAACAAAACAGTACAGAGGATCTAAGAGGTGGGACAATATGGAATGGTCCAACGTATGTGTAACTGGATTCCCAGAAGTACAAGATGGAAGGAACAGGCAAAAAAATATATTTAAAAAGCTAATGGCTGAGAATTTTTTCAAAAATGATGAAAGACACCAAAGCCTAGATCCAGGAAGATCAGTCAGCTCCGAGCAGGATTACAGGACAACACACACATCTAGACACACAATGAGACAACATCGAAGGCAACCAGAGGAAAAGGACACGACATGACGTAGAAGGGCACCAGGGACGGCACTTGACCACCCATATATGTGGACAAAGGAGGCCCAGAGAGGGGAAGGAACTGGCTCAAATCACCCAGAAGACATGGGTGAAACTACTGGAGCCAAACTGAGGCCTCCTTGCCCCTAAGCTGGGGTCTCTCTACTGCATTGCCTGGCCACCCCCACATGTACCCCCTTCACCCTCTTTCCCTCTTGACCACACTCCACTCCTCTCCCCTCTGCATCTGCCTACAGCTGCTCCCCCTCCCTGACCAGCTCCAGGGTGTGAAACCGACCCTATCAAACACTCTTTGCCTCCACATTCCAGGCAGCTGTGAGAGGCGAAGGCTGTGAAATTTACAGCTTTGGACATTTCCCTTAAATAATTATGACTAACTAATCTTTGGGGAAAATGGTGGCATAAGCTGGTGCCTGATCTACAACAAGTCATGACATAAAATAGAGGAAGAGCAAGCAGAAAAAGAAAGGAGAAAAAACCTGAAAAAGAAAGATGGAGATAAGAAAATACAGGATTAAAGAAGCAAAAACCTGCAGAGGCTGAAAGAAATCCACTAAATGATACGTTCGCCATCCTGGCTGCCATTGAATTCAGCTGAGCAGCTTCTAGAACACGTCATTGCCCGGGCCCCATCCTGACTCTGATTCCTTTCCTCTGAGGAGATGCCTGGGCATCAGGAGTTTTTAAAAGCTCCTCTTGGGAAGATGGTGTTCAGCCAGGGTTGAAAACTCCTCACCTGCTCAGTTTGTTACTGTGGGGAACACTTTCTATAGGTCTCTGCATCTCCAGGGCCCTGCACAGAGCGTGTGTTGAGTGCAGGCAGGCATGCACGGCTGAACGCAGGAGCAGGCAGGCAAAGGAGTTGTTTGCCAGGTGCCTGGGGATTGCAAACATGTGAGCCCACCCAGGATTTCTTCAGTGACCGGGGCTTGTGGTCAGAATGCAGGAAGAAGAAGGAAAGCGGTTCATTGACGAGGCCTTGTGGGGACAGGAATGTCATCTGGGAGATGAACCCGAGGAAGCCATGACAACAGGGTCATTGTGTCAATTCCCCTGCAGTAGCACCACCTCCCCAAACCTGGAGGTCCTCTTTCATGGTCACTCAGCCCCTCTGAGCCTCTGCTTCTATGGCTCCTGCTGATGTCTCTGGGTATGATGATGCAGGTTTCTGCTCATGTGACCTCGTGTTGCACTCTGTGCCTGAGCTCCAGCTTTCTCTGCACACTTCACTTCAATCTTCCTGAGAAAGTCTGATTGATTGTCTCAGTCACCCTCCCATAGAGACCATCCTATCCAGGGTGTGGCTTTGTGCCCACTAGTCCTTCTTGCCTGGGTGCCTTCTCTGGACTGTGCAGCTGTGCCCACACGATGGGGAGCAGAGCAGCCCACATCTCAACCTCACAAGGGCACTGGGGAGTGGCAGCTTTCTGACGCTGGTCCTTCGTAACTGCAGGCCCTGCCCGGAGCTTCCCTGGTCAGTCCAGGAGGTGAGCGCCTGGATGAGGGATGGACAGTGAGCCCAGGATCAGCAAATGTATCCTGTCCATCAGTCCCTGTGCCATCAGCTCATTGGTGTTCCTCTGTGCACTGGCACCAGGAATAAATGTGAAGGCAAGGAGGCTGATGACCAGAGTGGTTCCTGTTAGACTTGGGGCTCCTCTGGGTCAGGACCAAGGTCAGATTCATTTTCATAGTCCCCTAGCAAGCGCTTGGGAATGGGACTAGATGCACAAATGGATAGATGGCCAGCCAGTTGGATTTTTATAAGGTGGAAGTGGTCATAAGCCTTCAGTGACCTGTTGATTATGACCTTGAACTCTCAACAAATAATAGTAACTAAAAGTTATTGAATATTTATTATATGCCTTCATAATAAAGTACATTTCATGTTATTTCAAATAATCTTCACAACAACTCTCTGAGGTTAACACAAGGCATACGAAAATTCAACTGGTAAGTGACAGACAGGACCAATTACCTAATTGACTATGCAAAGACAAATATGTAATTTGCAGATTTTAGTTGTGCACAGTACAAATAATCCTCATTTTAAAAGTTATTAAGAATTTCATGTTGGTTACAGAGAAGCATTTAAGGCCTCCGGAGGCCTTCAGAGAGCCGGGTCTGTGTGACTGCACAGGTCTCACGTCCATGAAGCCGGCCCTGGTGACAGAGCTGGGATATGAACCTCGCAGTCTGGCTCCAGAGCCTGAGTCCTTAAGTGCAAAGCAACCCTTCCTTCCTGCGCAGGACACAGTTTACTATCCACCTCTGGGCCCCTCCTCATCTGTATCTTCATCCCTTGATTCTGGCCAAAGGCACCGATTTGATGATTCTCTGCTGCCCTCTTGTGGGCAGAGTCCATGCAGCCACACCTGCTTCGGGGATGGGGCCAGGTCTGCACCCCAGGCCGAGACTCCCCACCACGTCCCCAAACAGTGTGACCATGCCTGAGCTGACACATCCAGGGACGGCATTCAGAGTAATCTCTCGGCTCTTGCAGCCTCTGGAGTCCTAGCCATGCAGGGGCTGCTTGGGTGGGAGCTTCCCAAATCTTATTCCTCCTTCAAACTGAGACTAAACTCCTTCAGGCCCAAGTGGTCTCCCAGCCTCTAAGACAGAACTAATCCAGTTCCCGCACCTGGGAAGTGCTCAGGAAGCTCCACTCACATAGCATTTCTCTGCAAAGCGTCTGTCCTCTGCCTCTCACCTGGGCGGGTCTAAGACTCCTATCAAGTCTCCTGCCTCTGTTCTCCACCCTACAGGGCCAGAGTGATGCATCTGAACGGCCACAACTGTCATCACCTCTCTGTACACGCACCCTTTGTGATGCGATTCTGCAGGTCCACTCATTCAGTCTGGGCTGGCCTCTTTGACTTGCTTTGACAGTAAAATGTGGGGGAAGTGATGGTGTGCCAGTTGTCAGCTCGGGACTCAAGAGGCTTTGCGTGTGTCTACTTGCTCTCTTGAGTCCACATGACTGCCAAGTGAACAAGCCAGGCTAGCCTTCTGGAGAATGAGACACCACATGGAGGGGAGCCATCTCGGGAGAGGCTGTCTCAGAACAGCCAGCCTCCAGCTGACCCACAGCTGCAGATGCGTGGATGAACCCAATCAAGATCAGCTGAGCCTGGTCCAGATGAGCAGAACTGTGGAAGGCAGGTGGTCCATAGACTCATGAGCTACATATATTGTTGTTGTTTTAAGATATGGGATGGTTTGTTACCCAGCATTCTCTCTGATACACTATATAACACCCAAGTGTGATCATATCATTGCACCAATCTAAAACTTCCAACTGGCTCCCCAGGGCCCCTTGAAAAAGTTCCATCTCCTCATCCCAGCACAGGAGGGCCCTCATCTGGTTTACTTTCCTCTGCAGCCTGTCCACACAGACCTTGCAAATTTCTGCACACCTATGTACTGCCTGTACTGCTTCACGCCTCTGTGCTGTAACTTTTGCTGTCTCATGACCTAGAATTACCCTCAAAACTGAGCTCAAGTGCCACCTGTTATGGGGAGCCCTCTTTGATGTCCCTGGGTGGGGTTCTGTGCATGATTTCTCTGCCAGGCTGTGAGGTGGCCTTGTCTCACTTGTCTCTTTAACCCAACCATCCCCTGAGGGCCGACCATGTGCCAGACACTCATCTAGACTCTGGAGACATACAGAGAAGTAAGTGGTTGTGCCTCCTGTCTGAAAAGTTGCCGGCCCCTGAAAGTTCATGTCAACAAACTGTGGTAAGTGCACTGACAGGCGTAGGTCAGGGAAGGCTCTTCTAGGGGTGAAATCTTGAGGGACACATAGGACTTAGCCAGTTTCAGAGAGATGGAGAAAGGCCCAGGGATGAGGCCCAGGGCCCACAGCGTGCTGGGTGACACACCTGCATTAGTCTAGGGCGATTGGGGCAGAGAGGCGGGGTGAGATGAGGAGGGAGAGGCTGAGGAACTTGGATTTACGTGAAGGCAACGGGAAGCCGCTAGAGGACTTCAAACAAGCATGCAGGAGGTGCTCAATATGTGTTTCCTGATCAGCACACCAGCTGTCTCCTCCATCAGACCGAGAGTTCTTGAGGACAGGGTTATTTGACCTTTGTGTTCTCTAGTTCCTTCAGGTACATAGTAGGACTGGGTATGACTCCGATCAATTAATGAATGAGTGAATGAATGAATGAATGAATGAATCCTCTCAAATTATAACAATATGAAACCAAATGAATCTTTTTATCCAGACAGGAACCACTTTTCACTCCCCAGTGGAAAGTTCAAACAGTCTCTGAGACTCGTCCAGAGACGAAGACCTCCAGTCCTCCTGGCTTCCCTCAGCCTCTGCTTGGCAGCAGGACCCTGTGTTGGTGCCACCTGGCGGCCACAGTGCCCATATTCTATTGTAATCAGCTTCCTTTGTTGCTAAGATACACTGTCAGCTCAGAGAAGGGGAGAGGGAACCTGGAATGGGGAGAAATGCTCTGCTCAGCAGACATACCCACCTGCTCAGCCAGCTTAGAGGTGCTCTATGAATTCCACCCCCGGGTCTGTATGTCCTCACTCTGCAGGAACTGAGTCCTAAATCCCCATAACTTGAGCCCAAGAGAATAATGATAGCCCATGGGACAGAGAACCCCTTCTCTATGGGTCTCATTCCATGGTTTCCACAACATCCCTCCCCACCTTTCTCAGCAGATGATGGAATCCAGGGTGAGGAAGCTATGGGAAGGGAGGCATTGACCAGCATCTTCCCCATATCCTTCTTGTCCTCCTCCTAAGAGAACCCTGATTCTGTCAGAGAAGCAATGTACTCAAGTTACAAATTCTTACCCCGCCCCCCAGAGTCCCTTACAGCTAGAAGTTGCCATGTTACAAAGATCAGGCCAGTGAGATGTAGGCAAACATGCGGGTGTTCTAGAAAAATCTAGTCTTCTCCAGAGTAAAGAGGCACAGACTCACCTGGCTTCTGCCTTTTTCCCTCTCTCTTTTTTTCCCTTCCTCCTGCCTGAAAGGTGGGCAAGATGTCTGCAAGTGGATTAGCCATTTTCTCTCCATGAGCATGAGAACCACATGCTATGGATGGTGGAACAAGAAGCTAGAAGGATTCCAAATTTTTCACAACTTTCTTAAGCATCTCCAGAGCGTTCCCAGGTTTCTGTGCATGTCCAGGCAGAGACCCTCACTAAAGTCCTTCTCCAGAACCAAGGGCACCTCTCTCTCTTCTTCCTGCTGAAGAACACCTCTCTCCCTGATACATTGCCTGCGTGTTACACAAAATGAGAAAACCCCATTCGTTGAGACCATAGTTAGATGTGTTACATGCAGCCACTTGTCATCCGTACACATATGTGCTGTGTGTGTAATCTTTTTGGTTCTTGATAGTGAGCCCGTATGGACCCTATTTCTGGCACAAGGAACAAGAAAGCATGGGATTGGGGTGTGCTTGGAGGAAGCCAGTAAAGGTATTTCCCCTGGGAGACAGGAAAACTCTGTTCAAGATTAACTCTCTCTTACTACGTGACATAGGACATGTCATTTCTTCCTAGTACACTATAGGCACTTACATATATACATATACATTTATATATAAATTATATATACTTAAGTATGTATATACATATAACTATAGATATATGTACAATTACATATATGTATATATAAATTAATGTATTCATTTTTATATGTATTACACATTTGTAATGAAGAGGGTGTTGGAACTAGTTGAGGACCCATGTCCCTACCATCTGGACCACGTTATGCCTGTATGGCTGGGGACCAGGGAGATGGCATATCACAGTGTTTAAGAGCACAGACTGGAGCCAGTCTCACCATCTAGTAACTTATTTCATTTCTTTATGTCTCAGTTCTCCGCACTTGTAAATGGGATTAATAATACTACCTCATGGACTCATTAGGAGGATTCAATGAGCTGCAGTTTATAAAGCACTAGGAACAGTAACTGGCACAGGATAAGCCAACCTCTTTGCTTATTAAATGTCAGCTCAGGGCATTGGCCTTGTCCAAGGTGCTGATGCTCCTAAGGTCCCAGTCATCCTAGGAATCCGTGGCTTGTGAGACTGTGCTGGCCCCATTCTCTCTTTTAACAAAGCCAGGTACTCCTTGTGCCATGTTTCCCCTCCAGTTCCAAAACTCTGGTGAGGGCCTCTAAAAATTTAATTGTCTAGCTACGAATTTTAATCTTGATTCTGCTGCTCCCTAATCTGACTCTGCATCTCATTTTAAACATCAGAGTTGCAAAGTCCTTTCTTATCTCAAATATTGGTCCTGCTCTCTCACTCCTCTCCATTGGTGGAGTACTGTTACTAGTAAGTGACTGGAGATTGGGCTCAGGGTTCAATGGCAACTACCAGGTGAATTTGCAGGCTTGTAGTGTAGGAATGAAATTTCACAAGGACCTGGAAATGGGCTCAGGGTGGGCAGCAGACAGGTGCCTTGTTATTGGGCTGAACATGGCCTTCAAGTCTGTAACAGGCCCACTGGGGCCAGAGGCTGGGCTCACTTCAGATGCCTCCTCTCCTCTTCTGACTCTGAATCATCCCGTCCCAGGTTGGGACTCTAGACTGGTGCCTGAAGCTGCAGGATGTGTGGGGACTCATGCCCTGTATAATAGCCATTCTCTGTTCAGAAACAGTGGATCTCTGGCTCCTGGATATGTCCAGGCCATGGCCCTTGCTGGGGCCTTCTCTGGGAACAGAGATGGTCTTCCCTGATTTCCTGAAGCCCAACCCCTTACCTTCATGCCCTGCTAGTCTGTCCCAACTCAGCCCAGGCCTTAGGACAACAGAGCCAGCAACTGACTAGCAGGACACCAGAAGCCAGTTACTTGCCAGCTCTTTCCAGAGTCCCTGGTCACCACACTTCTACCTCCTCCTCCTCTGGGTCACGGCTGTGGTCAGGGCCTGCCTGAGACATAGCCAGCTAGAAGAGCATCTTTCTTGCCATCAGCCTGATAGGGGTTGACAGCAGAGGGCTTGTGGGGCAGCCCGGGCCTGCAGGAAGTTGGCTGCTGCCTGACAAGCCCCATGGAGGCTGCTATTTCCCAAAGCTGGAATTTCCTGTGCAGTTGGTCACATGTGCTCGGGCCCAGAGAGACTCAGATTTGCCCAGACACAAATTCAAACCTCAGGGATGCCAACCTGAGGAGGGGACAAGGGCACAGAGACATTGTTTTGGCTACATGAGAACAGAGCAGTAGCTGCCTTTGAAATGGGCCGAGGTAGGAGAGAGGGAGAGGAAAGAAACATTCATTACGTAGCTGATATGTACTAACTGTCATAACACCCTGCACTGTTCTGAATGGACTGTTAACAGTTACTCCTCCCTGTGACCCCGTCAGTGGTCACTATTGTCATTCCCTTGTGCAGATGACACACTGAGGTAAGGGAGGCTCAGTACCTTGCCCAAGCTTTCACACTGCTGAGTGATGGAACCAGGGTTAGGGTCCAGGCACTGCGGCTCCAGAGAGTTGCTCTGTGTGCACATCATCTTGCCTGATTCTCCTGATGAGCCTCAGCAGCCTTATTCCCACCCTTCAGAAACAGGAAGCCTCAGAGGTTTTTCCTGACTTGTCTGAGATGCCGCAGCAGTGGGTGGAAGAGCTGGGATTCAAACTCAGGTCTGGTCTGACTCCAAGCCCTTTGTTTTTCCACTAAACCAGAGCAAACCACAGACTTCAGGCCAAATGCAGCCCACACCTGTTTGTAAATACAGCTGCTTTCATGATGCAACAGCAGAGGTGAGTAGTTGTGACAGAGACCTTTACAGAGTATGTTTGCTGACCCTGCACTAAACCTGCAGGATGAATGAAAGGCAGCACCTCCCACCTCTGCCTCTCAGTGTCTGCCTATAAGGTAGTCATTCTCATCTGAGTATGAACTAGTCCACCAGCTCTGTGACAGCTCCCTGAGAGTTCTCACAGAGTCAAAAACAGAAGCCACTTTAAGGAATCACCTAATCCGGCCCTCTCATTTTCTGACGGGGAAACCAAGGTTTAGTGATGACTTTCCAGTGTGACTCAGTCATAACCTCAGAGTAGCTGGTCTCAAGCGGACTCTTGGAATCCAAAACATTTCCCTGGCCTTGACTCCTAATGGTATGGACCCACCTCAACTGTCTTGTTCAAGGTCATGTGACAAAGTGATCTTCCCAGTCCTCTGCAACCAGCCTCAACTTGAAGTGAAGTCCTCGTGGCTCTGCTGTCCTTTCCCACAGCTCTGGGCACCTGTTGGGACTTGTATGATCCCACCCCCTCCTCACTTCCCGAGGGCACCACACACAACGAGGGGAGCATGGACTTGGTCCTTCAGTGGCTGTGTGACCTTGGGTGGATCACTTCTCGAGCGCAGTCCTCAATGTCCTCATCTGCCGGGAGGGCACATTGTTCTTATTGCTGCCTATCTCAGAGGAGCATTCTCAGGTAAACAAATGAAAAATGGAATATGAAGTGATGGAGATTTAGAAATAAGCTCTGTTAACATCTTAATTTATTTAGGGTGGAGAACAGAGACCGACACCATGTGTCATCAGAAGAGAGAGGCTTTTGAAGGTAATACGTACCTGTGAGTCTTAAACATTTGAGATCTGATGATCGTATGGCTTTTCTCTCCCAGAAAAGTAGATATGAATTGATCCCCCAAAATATTTGCATTTAGTTTCAGAAGACTCTGAAACTTTTTTCATGAACACTAGTTTTAATAACTCCTGACCCATTGTACAGATGAACAAATTGAGGTCTAGAGAGAGACTGCACACATCAGTGCCTTTTGGAAGGAGACAGAAATGAAGCTATGTTTCTCCAAAGGTAGGAAATTCAAATGTCCACCAGTTGCCTAAAGTGGGGCTCACCCATGGGGCTTCTCCGACCACATGTGTCAGCCCAGAGGACAGGGCAGCGGCCAGATCCCCCCTCGCTCCCAGGAGAGCTGCCCTTTCCCCGTCTGGCCCAACCTCCCTCCTCGATCTCCTCGGGGCCACTTACCCATTAAATGTCAGCAGGCCTGAGGGAAGGCTGGAAACGGTGGTGGCCTTTTGTTTGATTCATTAAAATAAACCCTAACTCCAATTCTGGAGTTAAAGCAAATGATCAGAACAATAACAACCCCTGTGGGATGTCTGCCCAACTCAGTCCCACAGGCCAAACCACTCCCACCCCAGGATCTTTGGCGTAAGCGTATTTGTGTGCCCCAGTGCTGCTGCACGAGACTCAGCCCATGGCTATCCAGAAAGAATCCCAGAAGCTCCAAAGGGAAGGGACCTTAGAGGCTACGCAACTTCCCTTCCCCACAACTACCTGACACTGAGTCCCCTCTGCAAACTCCCTAAGAGGTTCTGCCTGACGTCTGCTTGCATATCCCCATTGCTGGGGAATTCACTACTTACATCAACACCCCATTCTTTATTCTGGTGTTATCTTCTTGCAAGCTGTTCCTGGACTTCCTATCATTGGCCCTAATTCAGCCCTTGGGCCCACCACCCACTCCATGACTGCCTTTGAATGTTTGAAGACACAGAGTGAAATGTTATTTGTCAATACCTCATTTATATTATTGTCACTGTCTACTTGCTGACTTGCATTCAAACTAATAATATAAGTTCACACCTTCCCCAAACAATAACAGTACCTAGCACTAAGATCTAAGTGCTAATGTATCTCCCTCCCTGGAAAAATGCCCACATGTACTAAATTGTGCATTGAATGCAATCCAACTGGAGGTTCCTATCCCCTTGAAATTAAGCCTTAGAAATGAAAAAGCAAAACTGGATAACTAGCGTGGTCTCACTTGGTATCCACTTTCAGTGTAAATAAAAATATACGTCAATCGCAGACCTAGGATTACAGATTTCACATTCCCCTCCTCCAGTTACCTGTTAGCTTATAAAAAGTTATTTGGGTGAAAGGGGGGCCACTTTGACCAGAAGCTCTTCTTTACTAGCTGGGGGCTGATCATAGACAAACACTTTTGCCTCACATAATTTGTAGCATTTTACCTTCATGGCAAAAAGAATCCGCTGCCAGATACACAGCACAGGAAATGTTCTTTATTATTCTGTACACTTGTTTTTCCATGAAGAGAACAGCTTTTTAAATAAATCCATACCAGACATGGAAATCTGCATGACATTGGAACAGTCCATGACACAGAGAGGGCACCACTGAAACAGCACTTATTTACACTGAGGTGGAGAGACCGAGGGATGAGGGCGCGCACCCCGGAAGCAACTTCCCATTCTCCAGTGTTTCAGAGACGCCTGCGACTGCAGCCATGGCTGTGCTGGATGTCCACAGAGCTGAGCAACCTGGGGCTTACAGGGAGTGACGTGTTACCCTCAAAATCTTGGAACAGAAGGTTGGATTTTTTTTTTTAAATCCCAAGTGTTTCTGGCATCAGTTGAAGAAATACTGGAGAAAGAGTAATTACGGAAAGTCCACAAAAATGAAATTTCTGGAAGCCAAAAATATGACATTTCTCTGCTCAATAGGTTATTGGTCACCAGGTCATTCTGGAAAGTCCTACAGTAAGAGATGTGCT